GCGGCTCAGGCTCCCCGTGGGCCCGGGAGCACAGGGGCGGCTTTCAGGCAGCTGCCAGAGCTGTCCCCACGCTGGCCTCTAACTGCCCCGACCCCGGGAATGTGAGCTGCCTGTCTTCCTCCCGCTCAGGCGCCGGGGACAGCTGACCTGTCTCAGCCGGCTGGGAGGGGTCCCCGGGAGAGTCAGGTTCTCTAGCTGTGCCCAGGTGAGGCCCAGAGGAGTGAGGGAGGGCCACCCCTGTTCACAGTCACTGCCCCGCCCCCACCTCCTGTCCCCAGCTGGGCTCTGGCTGATGGCCCATCATAACAGGATCGCCCAGGTGCCAGCCGGAGGGGCTCCCCTGCTCAGGCGGTCACTGGGAGCTGGCTGCTGGTGCGAGGTGCAGAATCAAAGTCTTGGGGCACCCACTGGCTGTGTGGGGCCACCTGCCCCACACGTGAGAGAGTGGGCACAGACCTCCTGGGCAGTCTCTGGACAAATGCTCCTGGCCAGGAAGAGTCAGGATCAGGCCGGTGTTCACCCCAATCTGTCCGCAACCCAACCCGAGATGTCACAGAAACCCTGTTTGTTTTGTTTGTGCTCCTCTGTTCCTTTCGGTCCTGGAGGAGGAGGAACCCAGGGCCTGTGCTGCTGGGCATGGTCCCGCTCGCCCTCCCACACTCTGACCTGTGAACCGCGCGCGTCAGTACAGCTCAGTCTGAGAGCAGTGCTCACTGTGCCTCAGCCAGGTCCTGGGCCACCAGGCTTCAAGGCCAAGCGGCACCAAGTTCAAATGGGATCTCTCCATCATTTGGAGCTCCAGGGCTCCCAAGGGAGGGGCCGCCTCCAGACATGGGGACGCTGGAGATGGAGGGATGCTCCCAAGGCCACACAGTGGGACCTTCTAGACAGGCACCTGCTCTCCTTGAAGTCCCCCCTTACCCCCTAGCTACAGATCCAGAGGCCTTAGGGGTCGTGGCGAGTTTTAACCTGTTCACTGTGTTTCTGCAGGTTCTGTTGAAGCCAGGCCCTGGCTTTTCATCTGGCCATGCCTCTGGGCACTGTCAACCCAGCAGCTTTCCCACCGGAGGCCTGACAGCAGTTGGGAAGCACCCCTGGGCCCGCTGAAGTGGGGGGCCGCCAGGAGACTGAAGCAGCCGGGGCCTGGGGATCCCCACACACACCGGAGGGTGGCTGCAATGAGTCAGCCGGCCCCGGACAGCAGGCAGGTGCTGGGGGGTGTGGAGATGCCACTGACTTTGAAGGTCACCACCATCAGCACTCAGCTGAGACTCTGCAGAAAACCACCAGGGAGGTCTCCCAAACACACATTCCCACCCGCTTGTCCCTGGATTTCCCAGCTTCCCTTGCACCTAGAATGTAACCCAGCTCTGGCCAATGAGCGAAAGGATTCCAAGGAAGTTTTTTCTTTCTGAATTAAAAGGCAAGGATTTCAAGGAAAATATACTTCACTATACCCTTCTTCTCCTTGCCTGGAATGTGAATGTGATGACTCAAGACGAGGCAGCCATATTAGCACTGTGTGGACAAAAGCCAGACACTAAGACTGGGCGAGCAGGAAGCTGGAGTCATCTGGATCCTCCTCTAGGGACCTGTGCCTGGTGGCAAGTCCTTGCCATGTCTCCAGCATGAGGGACAGTGTGAGGTCCCCAGTGCTCTTTTTGGGGAGGATGTTCCTTCATGCTAAGACCATGTCCTTCATACTGTGGGTTTCAGAATGTAACTTCCTTCATGAAATGATCATCCATGATGGGATTCAACATTTTTTTATTCTGGTTTTGTTCCCATCCTTCCCTTGCAAAATAAAAAATTGGCATCCTTGTTATCCCACAT